TTATTGTGTAATAATAATGTTTTGAAAATCAGATCCGATTTATTTGTTTAATTTAAAAATTTTGAACTGGTTCCAAAATCGATCGGGCACAAGTCAAAAACTGTCTAAGAAAAGGTCGGAAAAGTGATCAACAATAAATCGATTGACAGCGGACATGGGTTTACTAGTTGGATTCCGTAAAAAAGTGAAATTTCTTTTTTGATAAATGATTCTATCTTTGCATTTAAGAGATGATAAATGAAGATTAGGCTTGAAGATGATAAAATAATAAAAGAAAAGTGGCTCTACCGAAAGCTTTACGTCCGTGTTTCATGAATGAGGACTCACAAAAGTATGGCTGGATTCACGAGACTTGCAATAGAGTAACAAGGATTAAAAATGCACATTTTGAATTAAATAATTAGCATGTTTGACTCAGCTAAAATTGTTCCATTAATGAATTTTGGGTTGGCAAAGGTATATTTTTCCCGACCAAAAAAAGTAGTCAACCTATGTTTTACCAACTTTGTGTTTAAACCTTCACCGACCCAAATTATGGAAAAAAAAATCTTTATTATTCCCAGCCAAATTCTTGTTGGCAAGTAAAAGCCTAAAAATTTCCCGACTAATTTGTATTGCGTAAAAACCTATATATTTCCCGACTAAAATGTATTATGGTCGGTTAAAACTTTTGTTGGTTGGCTTTTGGTGATCAACTCCCGACCGAGATTTTGTAGTCGGGAATTGAAAATACCGACTAATATTTGACATTTAGCGATCAGTCTTTGGGTCGGCAAAAATCATATTTCTTGTACTGTGAGTTGCTCATTATATCGTTAGAGATAAAAATGTAGTTGATATTATTTAAATTTTCAAATTATATTAGAATATTTATTCTTTTAAATTTTTTGTTGATGTCAAAAAATGACTAGCTTAATTTTATCAACTTTATTGGGGATTCGTGAGAGGTAATTTGAGCCGAGAAAGTAAAATTATGCTGAACTAGTGGAATTGAGCTGAAATTGTAATAAAAATAAAGTGTTTGTATTAAGTAGAGAAATTTGGGAGTATATACGATGTGCGTTTAGCTTGTTTTCTCAGGGGACCACTACAATCCTTTTTATAGACAAAGATGGGCAAATTGCATGGCTTTACATCAAATCAGCTACAATGTTGACCTTAATGTGTGTCACTGACCCAATTTTGATTATCTATTGAGGTTGGTCTCCATATGTCATGATGAATTTGAGGCGGAAAGTAACCATTGTGATGGCAAGTCACAATTTGGGTGCCTCTTTGATGAAAATCGAGGCTTTGGTTATTCATTCTGATTATTTGTGAAGCAAAATCATGTTGAGAATGCGACAAAATTCACTATCAATCCTTAATTAGAAATTGCTTGCATAGATTTTTCATGACCATTAGTTTGCACCTATACATTTACTAACTACTGTTTGTATTTATGAACCATTATATGACATCAAAATAAATTAGTTTATTTGGTGTCTATTCAATTAAAAATGCATTTAACTTACCCTTCTATTATTTCATGAATTCTGTGAATTAAATATGGATTACATATGTGATTTAATTTCTGTAAATAATATTCACATTTGTAGGATTCTGTTTTATTTTTCGGTTAATTTACAATGGTACATATTAATTCTTTCATTTTAAATTCCTTACGTGTTGGATTTAATTTACTTAAATGGCATTTTTTCACTTTTATCCACTAACAAGTGCATGTGGTTTGGTGTTTGTTCAATTCGTTTCTGATTTGGCATCCCCGCAATTGTTTTTTTATTTTTTATTTTAAAATGTCTCAGCCATAACTGAGTCATAAGGAAATTTTTTTTGATATTGCAATATTATTAAACGCATGCCAGCAATTTCCGTGAAAGAATGTGAACTTTCTTGCGAAGCAGTGTTTAAGGACTTTTCTTTGACTCGGATACTGATTTATAGTAGGTGGAGCTAAATCAGCCACCGAATTGGAATGGAACCAAAACTTCCCATTAGAGCATAGTCTCTATGTGGCAATTCAATCTTTGCTAAAATTGGTATAAAATTCATTAGATTATTTAAATGCCATAATCAGTCATGAATTTATTTGATATTCACTAATCGGTGCATGCAAGTCTCTATTCTATTTGAAAGTGCATATGTTGTCTTAAGGCAGTTTATATGATGGCGCCTCTTAATTTTCAAAATATATTATCAAAATCAATTGTGATAATAGAGTTGGGAGATTTTTCTTTTATTTTTTTTATTTTTTTTTGTTTAAAAAATTTTGATCTAATGATAGTTTACCACATCATGTATATATAGACAATTATGTATATATAGCACAATCACTGGTGTAGAGGGATTTATTTGACCTAGGCAGCATTACCGAATGGGACAACGTTCACTCTTGATGCCGTGACTGTCCTTTTAAAAGGTAGCTTGTGCAGGTCAGTATGTGAAATTGGCCCAATTCGCAACAAGTAGCTGGACCCTTTGAGACCCCGTTTTGGTCCAAAGCCAAAACTAAAATATTGGATCATGTGGAGATCTAGGGGAACATAAAAGGGTGCAGTTTGATCTTGATAAAAGACTAATTACTTAACATGGAATCACTATTTCATCCTGATTATGGAACCATGGCAGGAAATTGAACTAATTCAATTCTTTGTGAAAGTAGATTGCATTGTTGCTGACAAAGTAGGTTCATCCTTTGAATAAAATTTTCCATCCATAAAACTTTAGAATGGTAGCCATAGCATGAGGTTTCTGCATCCGGTTACAAAAGTTAACTGAGGAACACATAATACCCATGTATGTCGATAGATGTTGATGGCTATGCTGCCAATATCATGTGTTATATTTATATGAATTTAAGGCTATTGTGCCAATACCTAAAGTTGACATTCTAAAGTTTGTTATTGCAATACACAATGTTAAAGGGACAATTCTATATGTACATAATTTTTTTGCATAATCTTTTATCTACTACTCACAATAGGAGGTGGGGATTATATTTGGAAATTTTTATATTCAACCACGACCCACGTACATTGTGAGAGGGGGGACAACTTTCAATAAGTTAAATTCGGTACAAATAGAATTATTCATGTTAAACTGGTACTAAGTAGTTTTCATTCAAAGAGGGGCAATTTTTCTGTAATCAACTAACTTATGATTTTATTTCATTTTAATTATCCAACTTTGATTTGTTACAATTTAATCATCCTACTTACATTCATGGTTCATACGATAATTTTGTCCGTAATTATAACAAAAACCATCATTTCCCGCAATAACCAACAAAATGCACAACTCCGCACCTTCTCAGTTCTTAATCAGCAGCTAGTCGAGATTGCATAAAGTGAAATTTAAAGTTCTTAAATTCACTCATTTGAACTTTTTTTACGACCAAAAAGTTTCGATTTCCATATTCAAGTAGGATTAATCATTATCTTTGAGCACGATTAAGAAAAATATGAAGTTGAATTACAGGATGAAAATTAAAGTGAGGGACCAAGACGAACTTCCTCTAAATAAATCAAGGACTAATTCCATTATAAAATATAAATGTCCACTAGTTTATAAATTTTCATGATCCTTCTAAAATAACCATACATCCCTCGCATTAATCTCAGGAGCTCCATATTTCTCTCTCTAACTTCGCGTCCGCACTAATTTTTAGATATGCTTTACCTAGAGGTATTTTTTTACTTTATATTTTTGTTCATATATTTTGAATTTTTTTGCTGGTTATTGATGTATATATTATTATTATTTTATTATTATTATTATTATTATTATTATTACTATTATTATTATTATTATTTTTAGTTGGAAATGTTTGTATAGTGAAAGCAGCTTTTGATAATATGATTTAAATTTGTGGAACATGGATACGAGTAATTGAGTATTGCTACATTCTTTTCTTTTTTCATTTTTTTTTTTTAATGATTTGATCTCAAGATTTAACATTCATACCTTTCGATCCAGTGGAAAATTTCGATCATTTAATGTAATTGTCTACTGCTTGATTAAATACAGTATTTTTGAGAATGGAGAATTCGATTCTTATTATTATTATATGAATTAAAGTACTAAATTGAATGTTTAGGGAATGGGAAGTAAAGTAACTAGATAATATTTGAAAAAGGGGCTATTAGGGTCCTGATAACACAGAAAAAGTGATTTAGACATTGTAGATTGGACATTTAAAGTAAATTTTTAATGACAAA